TTTCTAGGTATTTGTGGGTGTACTTAAAGCGGCTCTGGCAGCACACCGATTACGGCATTTTGGGGACCGGGCAGAGACGCAGAGTTCTGTCTGCGGCTCTCCTCTGGGCGCACTCTTTCTCTCCCTGCCGCGACGCACCCGACCGCGACGCTTCCACTAGTCGTGGAAAAAGGGGCATGCTGCCAGAGCCGCTTTAACAATTGGTTAAATCATGAAAAATTATCCTCTTGTCTTTCTATATGCAAAAATTGGTCAGAAAAAGAGGTTTCAATGAAGAGTCAGGCACAACTAGCAATATTCCAGGCAATACTGCTAACCTTGCATCTTTCAATCCAATGCCCTTAATTTGGCTACCATATGCTCCAGTGAATTTTTCTATTTTAAAGTAAAAAAATATGGACTCTCGCTTTTGGGGAAAAATGTTTTTATGGAAAAATAGCTTTTGGGCCTCACATTAAACTGTGATGAAGCAGGAAAATCGATCCGCACATGCAAATAATTGTATATAATACGTTTTCTAGCTATTTGGCGCGTATTGACGACTTGTTAGACCATTTAAACATAGTTGTCTTGTTTGGTTATGCAAAAAAATTAGCCAGAAAAAGCGGTTTCAAAGAAGCGCCAGGCATAACCGGCAAAATTCCAGGCAATGTGCGAGACATTTTCTTGCATTCCAATGCCCCTAATTTGGCTACCGTATGCTCAATTGAGTTTTATTCCATCTTAATCCCAAACATGTATAAATCCTGGCTTTTGCGGAAATGTTTTTATCAAAAAAATAGCTTCTCGGCTGTCTACCATCATAATTAAATGAGTCCTTCCATTAGAGTATCAACACATCAACGAATATGATTAGCTAATGTGCATAATTCTGCCCTATATTTATTTATTAGTTATTGTTTAGTTTAGTTGTATTTAGCACAGTTATTTGGCGTGCATATAACGATTTTTTCAATCTTTGGAAAATTATTGTCTTGGTTATCTATGCGAAAAAATGGTCTGGAAAAGAGGTTTCAAAGAAACATCGGGCAAAACGGACAAGTTTTAGTGCAATACCGACGGCAAATTGGGAGCGACCATTTTGGGAACAACGGATTTTTTACTAAATCGATTAGACAACCGTATTTCGGAGCCTCTTTAATCCCTAAATCGTAAAACCATCCGAAATCCTAATCGTGAAAACCTACCTTAAATAGTTAAGAATATCTTTGTGCCTTTTCAGCGGCATTCGTGTTCTTCCTGGTGGGTTTCCTGTATCCGGGCAGCCGATCATTCGTCCCGCGGCTCGTCGAACAACACGAAACGGCGCGGCTCTTCTCGATTCTTGGCGTTGGTGGGTGTTAAAAATAACAAAAATATAAAAAAAACAATCTTATGGCAATCAAAAAATTATTTTGAACTGATAAAGTCCTCACCACCACTATTCAAAGTCCATAAGTTCTATTTACTGTTAGAGCTTTCCGAAAGACTGATTGAATTTTCGTCGCTAATTTCATATTGGGGTAATCGTAAAACATTTTTACTTAAATAAGTTTTCAAATTATGTGCTAAAGCCCCCATCTGATCATCCACAACGCGCTAATTCGAACCAGTGTTGGGCTTGCCCATTATCAGCTTCAAAAATCGCCAAAACTGGCATATTTTCCGAAACTTCTTTTTTTAAATAAACGAAAAATGATGATGTAACGATATGGTGAGGCTAGCTAAAAAAAAGTAATGCTAAATAATAACAGCAATTATGCAAATATTCTTTGGAATTTATAGGAATTGTCATAGAGAAGAAAAGTTTAATTAACTGCTATCACTGGAAGCGAAGGAATTCTGATATTTTAGCCAACTTCTGATTCGTTATCGATTAATTTGGGGGACTAAATTGTTAACCGCCAATTTTATATTTGTACAGTCGTAAAACATTTTTTAAATCTTTTTCTTGTTTAATTTTTTTAATTATGCAGGAATTCCTGCTCTAATTATTCAAAACGCGCTAATCCGACCCTGTACTGTGCCCGCCATTACCAGCTCCAAATTGGAAAAATGCCATAATTTTCGAAACTTCTTTTTTGAAAGAAATGGAAAAAACTGATTATGTAACGATAGTGGCGCTAGCTAAAAAAGTAATGCTAAATAATAACAGTAATTATGCAAAAATTCTTTAGCAATTATAGAAATGGTGATAAAGACGAAAAATTGCTGGGAAATTAAATTGTTAACCGCTATTTTATACTAGGGCAGTCGTAAAAAAAATTTTCTAAACCTTTCATGTTTTTCTTTCTGTTTTTAATTACGTTGATAGCCTTGCCCTGCTTTTTGCATTATCGGGGGATGTATTTTTCCTTTATACACCCAGTAGCTTAATAGAATAAGCGTTTCATTCTTGCTATTATTCTTCATCTTTAGAAAAATTTAATGGTATTTTGAATGGAAACACTATCTAGAAACGTTAATAAACCTTAATAAATTAAAATTTTGGTCGAAAACCGTCATTTTTGTCTTTTTTTTATTGAATAAATTTGATATCATTCTGGCGGCATTACTCTTCTCATTGAGGTCGTTGATTTCCCGGAATTTGAAAAATTTTTCGTAAGCATCGCCAGAAAAAATGTTCGCCAAATATCTAGAAATCCTCATTAAAACGGAAATTTTAATACATCATTTTAGTGATGGTAATATGCCCAGTGATCTCCGGCATCGTTTTTAACTCACTGTACCGTGAAACACTCGATTGGTGGCCCGGATTCTCGTTCCTCATCGCTGCCGTCTTTGCCACCTTGGCCACGTTTGGGCAATGGTAATTTCAAAATTAATATGCTTCAAAAAAAAGGGCCTGAAAGGTGCCAAAAAGCAGAAGTAATTCGGCGAAGGTAGTTGCACAAAAAAATTTTGCCAACAATTCATCAGAAAATAAAGAAAGAGCGTTATAACATACTGCCGTGATAGCCAACCGTAATGTTGTGTTATCGGGGGGGGGGGGGCTTAAAAGGGGTGAAACCTACTTCAGTTTTCTTTAAAATCCTATTTTTATAATACAAAAGCTTTCATTTAGCTTTTAAATTGTTTTTACTATTTCTAAACGCAAAAATGTTACAAATTCTGATTTTTAAAAATGTAACATGTGTTTTTCGATTAATAACGACCGTTTTTCAAATCATTTTCGAATTTTGCAAAATATGAAAGTTTTTAGATAGTTTCCCCTTGAAATATAGATTACTTTTACCAAGACGTATTAAAATACCTATAATAACGTCACCACCGCCCCACCCCCGATAATGCGAAAGCACCTAGCAAACCATTATACCTGGAAAGTATAGGATTTGGAGCAATTATCCCGGTTTTCCAAAAAAAATTTTTGAAATAAATGTTTCGAAAAAGGGCCTTTACAATGGGGAAATTTGTCATTATTCCGTCCTGTGTTTGTTAGCGAATTGCAATCGAATCTGCATTAAAGTTCATAGCTAAAAGGCTTCGCTTAAGGACCTAGTTTTATTTAAATTTTCGTGCCCCACGCAATTCACTAATTTATAAAAATCAGTATAGTAGTTTTTAATTGTTACAACAACCGTCCCATTTTTTGATGATTTTTAAATGCTAAAACGACTTTAAACTTTGTTCTTTTAGTGCGATGCACTGGCTGATGCGGCCATTATGGCTGGAAGAATATGAAGCCGTCCAAAAGGAGAAAGCCGACACGAAAACAGACGCGTGACGAGAAGTCGACAAAAATCTTTGAAAAACGGGCTTCAATACAAAGATAAAATCATTTTACCTTGCTTCCAATTATCAACCCCTCTAGTGTCATTCTACCCAATGGTGCCAATTAAATCATACCTTTTCGGCGGTTTTAAATTATGATGAAACATGGAGATATTGGAAAACTTTTGTCAGCCACATAGCTCGATCAGGTTAAATAATAATTAAAAATCGGGGTTTTCAAAATTAACAACCACAAAAGCCGAATGGAATGCTTCTAAAAATAAGAGTTTCAAAATACTCCGTAGCCATAGCCACGGATCTAAAAACAATGCGTGATACAGTTTCACGGCAAAAAACTAGGTACTTTGTGTAATTCCAACCCAGCCACAGATAGAGTTATCGGACGAAATTTAGAAAAGATTCTGGCAGCCGTAAAACATTTACTTTTCCAGGATTAAAATGGGGTTACAGAAAAATAATAGCTATTAATGCCGAAAAATCCAAGATGAATTTGCAGTTTATAAAACCCATATTAAAAAAAAAACTTTTAGAAAGCACGTGTCTCTCGAGAAAATCCACAGATCCAATTGGAACAATAGTGTAAAAAGTATTTATTAATACTATTCAGGATAAAGAGGTGTCTAGCCTAGAAGTGGTAAAAAGATGAAGCTTTATCTTTAGAAAGCAGCCGATCAAAATTGATGACAAGCGAGCAATAAGGAATGCGCAAAATGACGGGGGTAATGAGAGGAATTCTGCCATGCAATTGGCATACGTAATAGATATGTATCGATAGTACTGTGATGGCTGAATTAGAATTAGAATGATCAAGAAGGTAAATTCTAAAAGGTGCGGGAAAATAACAACAAACAGAGAATCTAACAACGCAATGGATTCACAAATCAAAATGAGTGATTTTTGAGGATTCCAATTGTTTATTGTGCATTATCGGGGGGAGGGTGTTAATTTTTTCATCAACCCCAGATCGTGAGTGTTTTGGTAGCTTTTAATACATTTTAACTACTTAACTTGGAAAAACTCGAAATTTTCGTCAAAAATCGCTAATTTTGCTCGAAGTGCGATATTTTTCCATTCTTAAAAATAGTTTGATTGTTGTGTTTGACGATAGTAAAAAATAGTCTATCTGATAAAATCCATAGTTTTGCATTTTTACGAATTTTTACGTCTTGAAAAAGTCATAAAATTCTCGATTTGTCTTGAAAACCCCGATTCTAAGGCAAGATCCCCCGATAATGCACAAGTACCTTCCAATCCGTCTCAACGAGATCAAATTCGGCGAAATAAACCTATTCATCCTCTGCAGACATCGGCTCCTGCTTGACGCGGATTTCGACAACTTCTTTCCGCATCGATACTGGGGGCGGTGTCCAGGGGTCGGCCTCGGAGTACGTTGGAACGTCATCGTCCTCGTCGTCGACTAACATCTCCAGCAGCCCTCTGTCGAACCGCGGCTCTGGCATCTGACTTAGCCCAGTGAGCGTCGATCTTTTCGACAGCGGACTAAAAAGGAATATAGAGACTAGGGTAGATGCCAGAAAAATTTTGCGAAAAGTCGTTTTACAAAGGTCCTTTTTCCGAAAAAAAAAACAAAATCATTTCGTTAGAAATGATTAGAAGAATCAAAACGAAAAAGGCTATCCCTACCCGCAAAAAACTTACACATTTTGTGGGTGAAAATTAAAAAAGAATTCATTTTCTTAGCCAAAATTTGGAAAGTTTCAGGTAATTTTCTACAATCTAGATAAATTTTAATAAAAACACTTGCGATTACAGTTGTAGGAAGTTCTGGGTTAAAGTGCACGTTCAGGCACGTTGAACGTATATTGCCTATTGACACCTGCGTCTCCTTCTTTTCCCAGTCTCTCGGCGTCAATAGGCAATATACGTTCAATATAAATATACGTCCCTGAACGTGCGCTTTAACGGGAAAAAATTCGTTTCCCCCCACCCGCGATAATGCAAACGATTTTTTCGAAAATAAGTATACTTTCACAAATGAATTTTAGAAAAAGCGTTTTGGCAAAATATTACTTTTCAAAACAGCAAAAAGCAGCCAAATACAATTTTAGAATGTTAAGGATATGATACTAATTAGCTCGTATACCTTCTGAAAAATCAATAACGTTTCAAAACTCGTTAGAAAACGCTGCGTTGTTTTTGAGCGCTATTTCAACGCAAAAAGCCCGGGTCACTTTCAAAATGTCGACATTTACATAAGCGAACTTCCCGAAAAAAACCCCAATCCTATGCAAAAAGGCCGACATTCTGAATCCTGACCTAATTACATTTCGACATTATAAATTTTTGCGTCATGATTTTTGACATTAAGAGAAGAAATAAAAAACCCACTGCTTGCTCATCGCCCGTTGATGCACGGCACTCCACGCTAAGTAGCACTTGTTGATCAGCTGCGAGAATCGGTGCAGGTCCTCGTCGGGGTACTTCAGCAGCCGCTCGAGCTAAGTTAAAACGATGAGGAATTCAGAAACGTTCAAACCGTGGCCTCCTTCGCCATGATTCGGATCGTGTTCACGGTTTTTCGGGCTTTCAGCTGGCGGCGCAAGAATTTGCTGATGACGAACGGCTCCTTGTTCTTTCGATGGTAGCCCCTGTCGACCAGGACCGGGGCTAAAAGAACCGAATAGAAAAATATACATATCATTTTAGGTTCTTGTGCGTTAGCGGGGGACCTAATTTTTGCCTAGGAACCATATGGAAATACATACGAATTTTATAAACGCTCAGGTTGTTTTAAGTATAAATGCATCTAAAATGCAGCATGTAATTATGGAAAATTTTTGACTTTCAGGACAGAAATTTATGAAACATGCCACAAAAAGGCAAAAAGCTCAAATTTTTATAAAAGCTTTATTAGGACCTTCCGCATTATCGCTGGGCAAACTTAATTTTTTCCAAAAGCCTATAAATTCCTAGTAGCTTGATAGGAACTACTTTAAAAGTTTTATAAACTCCACATTTCATGTGGAAGAACAATAAAAAAAACAACAAAATTTTTTGTTTTAATTGGTCGTAATCGTGGTCAAAAACCCTAATTTTTGAATTTTTAATGAGAATCAGCAATCTTTACGCCTAGGAATAGCAAAAACCGTTAAGAAAATTTGGTCTATTGATATTAGATTAGAAAAGGGGATTCACATACAAAAGCTTGTCCCCCCGATAATGCAAAAGAACCCGTTATTATTCTATGAAACTTACAACAAGAAAAAACTACTAAAAAGACTACGACATGCATTATAATTACTGACGAGTACAAGTAGCAAAGTAGCCAATTTTCAAATACAGTACCTCTTTTATTATCAACCGGCATCAGCGCCCGATAGTTCATCACTGGTTGATTCTTGCGATTTACGACCCATTCTGCGCATTGGTTCCGGATGTGGGATGGCCCGACGTGTTCCGGCATTCGGAGAAGCTCGAACACCTTCAGAGGCGGTAGTTTGTACGAAGTCGGATCGAAATCCGGCGCGACAATCTAAAAAAATAAATGATTAGACACTAATTTAAATTACAAAAAATGTCTCGGTATTTCCAGGGTTTTCGGACGATCGATAACGCAAAAAAAAATCAAAAAATTCTAATCCGTTTTCAAACCTTACCCCGCCTTTGTGGATGATGCGTCCGATTTTCAACGCGTCCAATTCGAGAATTTGTTGCAGCAGCCCTCCTTCGCCGGCATATTTTCCAGATTCGGCTGTAAAACCTGTATCGACGGAACGACAAGAAAGAGCAACCTCTTATGATGACTATGAGAATCGGAATCGGCATAAAACGAGCGAGCTGCCGGATGCGGTGACGAAGTGCCCTCGGGATCTTCATCTTCCCATGGATATGCAAGTTGCAAACGCGAAGGTGGATGATCGGGCTAAAAACAAAATTTTGAAATTTTGAAAAATGATTTTGAGTTTAAGTTAAATTCATTTTAGCCGTTTTTGAACGCAGGAAAATCCTCAGAACTGATGCAAAAAGTCCAGAAGTTATCAAAATTGACAATTCCTGAGGTCAAAGAAAGTTTTGTATGGTTTTTTGTATACTTCTCCGCCCACCCTGGGTGGGCCCCCCCTAGGGGGGACAGAGGGGGGACTGAAAGGGGGGGATGGCGTTTTTGGAAACTTCTAGGCTAACTCTAACTTTCTAGCCCATCTATTTGGAAAAAAAAACCGTAAAAATGGGGAACATACCGCTTATCGAAATTGGTATGGCGAAGATTCGGCATGGTGAAAATTCGGTATCGTGAAAATCGGCATGGTGAAAATTCGGTATACCAAAAATTCGGTATAGTGAAAATTCGGTATAGCGAAAATTCGGTATAGTGAAAATTCGGTATAGCGAATGGAACTCGTAGATGCCATACCTCCATGCCTCAGGGGGGTAGGGGGCACGGTCATTGGTGGGGGGGTCCCCGGGGCCCTCACCATCCCCCTTTCAGTCCCCCTCTGTCCCCCCTAGGGGGGCCCACCCAGGGTGGGCGGAGAAGTATAGTTTTTTGTACTCGGCACTATGTAAATAAATCTAGAGTAGCCTTTTACGTTTATTTTAAGCTACATATAGCTACTTTTCCGCATTGTCGATGTCGGAAATTCACAAAACTTCGGCGAAAAAGGAGCAAAAACGATAAAAATTCCGAATTTTTAAATTTATACTATTTTTGCCTACTTTTTGGCGAATAAAAAAACCATCTAAACTGCCGGTAAACACACTATATTTTCTACAACCGACAGCTCAAGCTGAAATTTCTTTACCTTCCGGTAAGATTCCGTGACTCTACAGCCCCGTGGTAGAATGCGCCACACGCGATCGGCTGTTTATGACTCAGGTCGCAGTCGTCAAATTCGTCATCTAAAAATAGAAATTTGGATATACCAGAACAGAAATACCGCTATCATTCGGGTCATGCGTGTAGCGGCACGGGTACGTCCGACCGCTCAGCTTCGTGTGTTTATCGTTCTCGTAGTCGCCCATCGCGCGGATTTCGTTCAAATGCGTCTAAAATTAAACTTTATTTTATCGTTTCAAAAATTACCCTATATTCAGCGATATCCGTGTACGCAAATTCGCGGATGAAGGTCGGGCGGCCGTGGTGAAGCCGGAGGTGGTTGGCGTAATTTGTCATCGAGCCGAAGCCTTTTGCGATGCACTAAAAATTCAACAGATCACTCCGAAATACGGAAAACCTACATCCGGATACGGGCAGTTGATGAGCAAGTCGTTGCATTTGGCCTCCGGGCACTTGACGCCCTGCGAGATCAGCAAAAAGTGTGCGGAGAATTCCTTTTGCGATAGGGGCTAAATATCGGGATCAACCGCTGAAAAAGCCTCCTCACCAAATCGCAGCCTCGACAGATTCTCGTCATCGCGTAGGTTATATCATTTGGAGGCAAGTCAGGCTGGAAAAAATATGTACAGGCGCCTTAAACGGCTTTTCTTTCAAAATATTGAAAATCATCATGCCGAAATGTCATAATTTCGAAATTCAATAATGTCAATTTCGGCTTAGCGATATTGGGAATTCCACAGTAAAGTTCTGTCTAACGAAATTTCGGCATTATGACATCTCAACATTCTGATACGATATCCCTAGATAACCCCACTAATCTTACAAAGGAAGCACAGAACGAATCATTTTATGCCATTCGAAAGCTCACAAAAAAGGACTAAAAACAGCTTTTTCGCTTTCCGGATTCCCCAGAATTCAAATAAGTTTCAAAAAAGTTGCGGGTTCTTTTTAGTTTTCGAGTAAAAAATTTTTGTGGCTTTTTGGGAGCTTTCGAATGAGGCTCGATCATCAAGCTCGGCCGATCTTCGTGGTCTTCTCGACAGCCCGTAATTAAAGGGATGCCGACGGCATAGTCAATCGATTACGCGCGGAAAAGAAAATGTCTCTGCGCCTCTCCCCAGGACGCGCTCTCTCCCCTGTTGGCTACTTGCCAATTTGTTGATGAGGGGGGATCGACACATGCCGTCGGCAGCCCTTTAACAAAAAAATCCCTACCGATGGCTCATACGAAAGCGGATGCCTCGCGTTAACACGATACACGCTCTCATCGTTCTCCGGCGCCGGTGCAGGCAATCTAAACAAAACATAAGAGATACAAAAAAAGACCAAAACTTACGCATCCAGACCCAATGGTTCTGGTTTGACATCTTCCAGACCACCGCCAGCCGTCGTTTCTGCCATAATGATGTTAGCTTCATCAAAGGGTTCATCTCTGAAAAAATCGACGTAAATACAGGCGAAAATATCTTACTTTGGCTCTTTCAAGCCGCCCTGGGCCCGGCTGATTTCCTGGGCTTCCTCCCAGTTCCGCTTCTTCTCGCACTTGAACGATCCGGAAAGGCAATGCTTGACGGTGCAGCAGACGAAGTCACCTGGTTCCTGGAAATATCATCTTTTTAGGGGCTTTGGCATTATCGGGGGAGGGAATTTTTTCTTAGAATATTTTTTTGTAATATAAATCGAGGGATCGTTTCTAGACCATTTTTTACTGTTCCAAAAATGAAAACCTTACGCTTTCCATTAGAAAGCAATTGACCGATTACCGATTCTAAACGTTTTTAAAGTTTTTTAGCGTTGTAGTTTCCGAGATAGTTTTCCGTTTAGAATTAAGATAGAACATACTTTAAAACAACATGATCAAAGCACACCTAGAAACCTTACGAAAAACATGATTCAAATACTTGTAATGATGATGCTAGACTTATCTTTACTTCTAGTCAAAATTCGCGATACCCACGATAAGACGAAAACATCTATTTTAAAAATATAAGTAAATTCCATTACTTGGTTAACCTTAACTTCGGAGTCGGGCGACGGAACTGGCGACTGTTGTGGAATGGATCGACGTGTCGGCTCGATTTCAGACGGCGCACTGAGTGCATACTTTCGCGTAGCGGTCAGCCTAAAAACCTCCGTTTTACAAGCAAGAAAACAAATACCCGATGGATCGATAATGGATACGTTTTTGTGGGTAGGTCGTCGTCTTGTTAGCGCTGCCAATAGTCGTGGCATTTGGTTGAGGCACTAAATAATCATTAGTTTTTCTATGGAAACAGGTTTACGCGGCGGATACGCATCTTCGGGTGCCAATTTCGGAGGTGCTTGATTATGGATCATCTCGTGGCGCAGGGAAAGCGGTGGGCCTCTATTTCGATCTAAAACCCAGTTAGTAGTTTCCGACTCAAAAACATTCGCTTGATATTTCCAGGGGGAATCACACCGCAAACGACATGTTTCTAGATGTTTTTAGTATTCCCCAAAGGTAAAATGCTAGCAAGATTTTTTAAAAACTAAAAAAAAACCTTTTTAAGATGAAAAATAGTCAATTTTCGATCAAAATTTACGTTTTCCAATCACTTTTCTAGGTTCTCTACAAATGAAGATAAAACAGCATGCGTTTTAAACTATTTTTGCTATTCTCGAAAGTAAAAGGTTACAAGCTACTATTAAATCTTGAAAAACGCTTTTCCGATCAAATAAAGCCAACGAAAAGTTTCAAACACTTTGTGCCGCTTTCAATAGAACCAAATGCAGGAAAGACTAAAATGTTATTAAACGAAAAAGAAGGTCTTGCAAAAACCCCAAAACTTACAATAATCAATGTTTTTCTGGAGCCACAGTAGTTCCTTAGGAAACGCGACGGGCTGGTGAAAGGTGTCATTTCTTGGCAGCTGAAATGAAACTATGCGGTTAGTCAACTAAAAACGCGACAAACCAGGATCTTTTTCTGTCTGATGGCGCTGGGAAAGGGCTCTTGAAGGCGAGACATCATTCGTATCAAGCCGAGCTGTTGGCGAGGAGGAAGGTCTTCATAATATTCCGTCAGTAGAGCGTCGCGCTTCTCGCGCTTCTCGTCCATACTGCCGAAACCTAAATTTGCGCGTTATAACTGGGAATAAGAAAGAAAAACGAAAACTTGGAAAAGCAAACGGGTGGATAAAAGCCATTGAAGGAGTTGTCACTGCGCCTAGTCGCGAAAAAAAATGGTTTCACCATTCTGGAACGCAACTAAATTATTATTTTTGAGACTTTTCGGCATTGCGCGTTTCATAAACCGGTGTATTTCCGATAGAGAATAGGAAATGACCCGTTTTCCGCTGGTATCCACTATTGGTACAAGGATGGTTGGGGGGGGGCCACTTTTTTTTGTCGGTTTCATATCAGTTTTTTGTGCTGAGTTCGAATTTCACAAAATCAGGTTCGAATAACGCCTTTTTCCACCGTAAAAACCTTAACCTGTTTAACAAGGGTTTATCGCAACAACAAGGATATAACAAGATAATAGACTAGTAACAAATGTGGTCGCGCTAGCTTATCATTCGCAAGGGTAGTGATCGTGGACTTGTTCCCAGAAATGGTAGAAAGGGTCGGTGGAAAATTCCTGGCGCCATAGAAATAGTATAGTATAGGCTTAGTCTAGGCCTAGCTTAGGCTTGGCCTAGCCCTAGCTCAGGCTTGTTCTAGACTTAGCTAAGGATTGGGCTTAAGCCTAGGCTTGGCTTAGGTTATGCTTAGGCTGGGCTTGGCTTGGTTAGCTTAGGCTTGGAGAAAAGCTTAGGTCGGAAAAAAAACCCCAAAAAAAAGATGCGCCCCCAACATCAATGGCTCCGGTTGTATTTTAGGAAAGTGGATATCGCGGCTGATACCGCCGTTTTACGGTGGAAAACGGCGTTATTCGAACCTGATTTTGTGAAATTCGAACTCAGCACAAAAAACTGATCTGAAACCGACAAAAAAAGTGGCCCCCCCCCAACCATCCTAGTACCCCACTATTTCCTGCGCTTTTGGTTTCGTGGAAGGGCATTAATTGATGCCAATATCGGATGAATAAAAAAATAAAGAATTGATTATTTAGTTTACAGATTGATCGATCAAAAAAAAAAATTCAAGTTCGGCGAGTTTCTGATACCTTTTTCGAAATCGGGCCTCAAACAACCGCGTCTCACCGGTATACGGTAGTGTTGCGTTGACCCGCGTTTTAGGCAACAGCACCCGCTGGCAGGGTCTTGCAAAAGTTGTGTGAAAATAGGATGTTGCATAACAGTTCCTAGCAAGAACTATCGATCTGGGCATAATCGCTGACCTCGATCGATGTAACTCCACCGTGCCAACTTGAGGTTCCCTTGTAAACACATCTAAACACATATAAAAATATGCCAAATATTTTATGATTTTTAAACTACTATAAAAATCAGTTAAAAATAAACTAAATATTTTGGTGCAGAAAGCAGCTACTGATTAAAAGCAGAAAGGCAAAATTATATTTGAAAATTTCTAAAACATTTGAATTGTAATACGCAAACTCGTTCGTCTTTAAAGTAATGTAAATGAACCGCGTTTATTATGTAAAAACATCAACACTCGTCGATTTTTATCCGTAATTTGTGTATGTTTATCGGACTTTGTGTAATTAATATTGAAAAATCAACGATGATTTAAAAAATTTTTGACACATGTTACTTTCACCTCTGAAGGTGAAAGGGGAAGTTAAAGGTGAAGGTGTAGGGGAAGGCATCCATTAAAAAGATGAAAAGATGAAATATAACTAACTTTAGCTTGATTTTAGTAGAAAACGAATAATGTGCATTTTCCATGATAAATTTTATATATTTATCGGATCGGATAAATATCGCAACATCGGATCGATCGGATTAATATCGATCGGAAACCAAGAGAATTCCCAAAAATTTCTGAAACACATTAATTTAAAAGTTTTAATCATTATGGAAAGGCGTCCAACAAAAACCCGCAATGTAAAATCAGAACCCGTCGAGCTACAAATAAAATATCGTAGATAATCATAAAATAATAAAAGCAATTGTGTTAATTCCTCGGCTTCGGCTTTTTCTGCTTTTTGCAGTAGCAAATGGGGCGTAGATCGGCGTAGAGGGCAGCTATACAATCCGCCTGGTCGCCGTACTTATTCAGCCGGAGGAACTCTCCGGCACGCACCAATCGACCCGAATCGTCCAGCTTTAGCACCTAAAACGAGACAATAAAATTATAAACTTATAAAATTCATTGAAAAATACCTAGGAATAGGTCAAATCACATGTTAAAATGTCGTAACCCGCTCGAGAATCTTTCTTTTAAGGGTCTTAAAATTAAATTTGAAAGTTATTTGAGAGCCGGTTTGAGGAATTTGGGCTTTATTCACCTGTCAATGTCAGCTTAATGGCAACGTAACTTTATCTTTTCGTATGTTCTAGTAAAAGTTATCAAATAGATCAGTTTTTAGTAAGAACAGATTGCAAAGGAAAAAAAAAGAAAGGAAACTGTCCAAAAACTTTCAACAATACTACAAACCACTACTACACTACAATTATACTACCGTACCACGGTGAATTCGCCTTTGCCAAGGGTCGACCGGAAGAATACTTCGAACATTCGAGTCCGTTTTGTCGGGATGAAGCCCTTTATGGAGATTATCTGGAAAACGTTAGTTTCAATCGATTTTAAAAATTTATAAAATACGAAAATAGCATAAAATAGCAAAAGTTAGAAGATCAATTTTACCTGGTCCAATTCGTGATTGGCGCAAAGGTTGGTGACGTTGAATTGGCGGAAAATGGCGTTAATTTCCTGGATGACGACCATTTTCGCGTCTTTGATCAATGTTACATTGCTAAATAGAAACAAGGGAGTATTTATTTAAGTTATTCCCATGTTGTAGGCTGGTCGTAATACAGACATATTTTTGGTGGTAGTTTCAATTCCATTTTTGAAAAAATTACAGCTATTTCGAATGTCGGGATTTCCCAAATAATCTCTGCTCGCTTGCTCAAGTCAAGAAAAAAGCGATCAAAAAGCGATGGGAAATGATATGTTTCAGAAAAGGCCCAATCTGGCTTACTTAGTCGGGCTGTTATTCCCAGGTCCTTTTCTTTCCAGTAATTATCAGTAATTCAGAAACACAAATTCCCAAATAATCTCGGCAGCCTGCCCTGTTTATGATTTTTCCAGGCTATTTTTTTAAACGCTTCTGCATAAATTTTTTAGCTAAAAAACCCGTTAAATGACAAGGATCAAAGCATCCATAACGTTAATAAAATATACCTTTTGGGTTTGTTTGCATTAAGAGGGGGCGGGGGCACTTTTTTAGCATAAAGTGTGCGAAAAAATAATACGAAAAAATAATGCGAAAAACCGATTTTATACTTTTTACCAATTTTATATATATTTATATGTTTTAAAACTTTTCTTGTAGTTTCCATACTAGCATTTCATAATTACGGTTGCTTGAATTATCCTGCCTTATATAGATTTCACTAGCTCAAAAACTTAGAAAACTTGATATGGCCATTTTGATGAAAAAACTTTAAAATCTTTCTTAAAACTCACAGCTGAAGTTTTTACGTCTCGCGATAGTAAGGAGAGTTTAGAAACACCTCCCCCGATAATGCAAAAGCACCATTTTAAATCTGATTAAACTAATTGCCTAAGTAACAAAAATCAAATAGAAAAACTTACTAAACGAGCTCTTTGTCGAACTCGCACATACAGTACGCGGTGTGGACGGCGATATTCCGGCAATTACGGTGGCGCAGCGGTTCCGGGAATGGACGCAATAATGACGTTCCATTATTGTCGTTGTCCTTTTCCCGTTCGACGTACGCGAAGTCGGTGAAGTTGCTTTCCGGAGCGTACTGAAATTTTAAACGGTTGGACACGGCAATACGTGCAACAATGTTTTCGTAATAACGTTGAATTTGTGAAATACGACATTAATTAATTTATATGCGAAAAAGAAATGGCTCAATAGCATGGCCAGAAAATCGCCGCTGGGTTCCATTTTTAAAACATTTTTTTGCTAGTGGACTAAAAATTCGGGCAATCGGGCAGCTAAGATTTAGCCTGCATACCAGGTAGTCCCAGCTTGAATATAAATCCATAGCCATGCCTTGCCGGTCCCTTTAATTTTTTTCAGCTCCTACGTCTAAACAAAGAAATGTTTCAAACCCCCTAAAGGTCCTGGTTGTGATTAATTGGCTAGTTAAAGCATTGTCTTTTTTTACGTTTTTCTCTTTCGTTTTTTCGTTTTAGATCGGTTTTTTAGCAGACAGTGGAATTTGAATTTTGTTAATTTTGGCTAGAATCCTTCACTCACTAGCCTAAAAAACAGGCCATCAACCTTCGCTGGCCTCGAAACACATTTTTTCTTACAAAAACAGAATTTTTAAAATTGCGCAAATCCTGTAAATCCTGTATTTCTGGTTCGTCAAGAACCTCTGCTAGCTTGCATGTCAGATTGCCTCATCACGAGCGAGATGTCAGACTTATTCCACATGGTGTTTTTGGGCGGAATCCAGTTGGGTTTTGCTGCCTCTGGGAGGGCGGCTACCAACGCTTTCACGACGGCTACAACGCCAAGAAGATGCACAAGGAGGGTTGTGCCAAGAATAAGGAGCTCCTAACTCCACAAGCAACTCACTGCGCCTTACAAGACGCTAGGAGAAAAACCAAAAACCTGTTAGAAAACTAGAATGTGATTAAGAGGACAATAATTTAGTGAGATACGTTTATTAAGAATAATTTACGCGACGGAAATTAAGGAGAGTGAGAATTTAGAGGGGGGAAATCTAGGGGGTGGGGAGGAGAACTCGGGGACGGGAAAGTTAGCGGGGAAAACGGGCGGCAACGGGGTACGGGATCCCCCAAAAATCCGCGACTGGCTCGGAAGAGGGCTCTCTTCTTTGGGCGGCCTGCGATCCTTGGGCGCGCGCCGTGGCGTCGGCGACGGTATCGCCGTGTACTCGTGCGAACCGGGGCTCGAGGGAAGGGGAGCAGGGGCTCAACCCAACTCGGCACCCCCCGGAATAAACGTCGTCCGCGACGTTGAAACAGCATCCTTCCTTCACGTAAACGTACTTGTAACCGATCCGACTTGGGCGGTGGACGAGCTTGTGGACGAGTTTCATTTGCTTGATGTAGACTTGTCGATCGACGGGCAGACATCCTTCCTTCGTAGAGAACGTACTTGACAAGCTTGGCTTCGTCGTGGGGCTTGACTTGAAGGGCACGTCTTGGCGATTCTTGTCGCATCCTTCCTTCGCATCCGATCCTTGTTGTAGTTGTCGTTTCACATCCATTCCTTGTCGTATCCAATCCTTGCGGTGGCCCGTGCACCTTCTCGCGTTCCATCGTCTTGTACGGGCAGGCCGAGGCGAGGGGGATACAGCGAAAAGGTGGGACCGGGGAAAGGAAAGAATACACATGAAAAGGAAATGTGGGGACGAGAATAGCAACGCGAAAAGTTGTGAAAATGAGAAACGGAAACGGGAAATACAATACGTGACGAGGAAAAGATGGTTTACTCTTCGTTGATTCCTTGTCGTGTAGCTGCGCATCGTGTAGTCGGTGAAGACGGCGACGTAGAACTTGCGATCTTGACGGCGTAGATGTTGACGACGAGCTTGACCACTTTGTGTCGTTGAACAGCGTGTAGGCGATGAAGATGAAGAGAAGTGCTTGACCATGATGATGGATCCTTGAAGAGCTTGACTCCTTGAACGCGTGTAGAACTTGAACGGGCGAGAGCTTGCGAATTCGGGGATCAGCAGCGGGTCCTCCGGATCCGGTGCCAGACGAAAGCGAGATGATCATGTTCTTGACATCGACTCCGTCGAGGGCCTTGGCGAAAAGATCGGGCCAGCAGGGCTCGAAATAAACCTTGGCGGCTTTCAGGGGCGTGGAGATCTTGTCGCTGGTGATCGCGACTTCATCGTCTTGGAGAATCAGGGCAGCGTAAACGCGGGTCCGATCCTCGTTGGAAGCCATCAGCGCAAGGGCGGTCCGGGCTCTTCAGGCCGTGCTACCTGGAAAACGTGAAATGTAAACAAAATTTGGCGAGGACAACCAGAATTTTGAAAACAAAAATCATTCAACTTGAATCACGTGAAAAGCAAAGCAAAAGGAATTGCAATGCGAGAGCGCGGAGGGACCAGCGACGTTTTGGCGATTTTTAGGCGAGAAGCAGGGCCAAAGTTTGCGAAAGTGTGGAAATATCGCGGGGAACGTTTTCAATCATTGAAAATAAAGTTCTCAAAACTTTCATACAAAAGAAATGAGCAATTTGCGGCGGCCATTCAAAAGTATAGCTTTTGGCGGAGCTATAACATAACGAAAAAGCTGTTCCGCTCGATTTTTGAGGCGAAATCAGTCCTGAAAAAGGAGAGTTTTGCAGGGAAAGCATTCTTCGAGATGGAAAACGAATTTGAAAAAGGCCTTTGACAATGAAAGAAACGTTTGCGACGAAATTTGGAAGCCTTCGAAGCAGAATTTGGGCGCGAGAGCAGGGGAAACAAGCAAATTCGGCGTAGCGAAAGAAAACAAAGAAAAGCGCGTTCTTGTCAACTTCATACCAGGGAAAACGCTTGGCGAAAGGGATTGCCAGTCCGGGTTTCCAATGTTATTGCTTTAAGAGCAGGTGAGAACGCGGGAAAATTACAAAAAAAAACTTCATCCCTGAAAGGCGATGAATTGGGGCAGGGTACGGCGGGGCAAAAATGCAACACGGGGACGAAGGACGGGAGAAGCGCAACGTAGTTTGAATAGTTTCTTGCTTGTCAGGATCTGCAGGACTTTTCCTAACTGAAAAACGATTTGGAAAGAGCAATCGGTTCAAGAAGAAGCTGCGAAATGTCATTTGCTTTCAACGAGGGGCCATAAAAATCTTTTTCAAATGAAAAGCGCGGGTATTCGAAAGGCGGGAATCATCGAGGTTTCCATTCTTGATACGGCTGATAGCAAAAAGAAGAATTCTCAATGCTGGGCACTTGGAAGCGAGAAATCCTGCGAATAGAGTCGAAACAGCTCAACATGGCGAGGCAAAAGCTCATTTTTGCAGGTGCGAAAACAGAAAATTGCGCAGGGCTGATCAATTCCCTTTACAAAACGTGATTCTTTTGCACTTTTCAAAAGAAGTCGAGTTCTGGGATGAACTTTTGCGCATGGAGCGGGTGCGAGTCGAAAATCAAGCCTAGGCGGGGGTTAGAGAAACCGATAAAACCTTGAATACGCCGGTTTGAGATGCTTGAGGCCATTGGGAGCAGATAGAGCCATCTTCACAGAGAACTTCTGGCCATAGTGACGTTCGCCATTCGTCAACCTGGAAAAATTGCATCTGAGAATAAAGCAAATTCAACTCACTTTCAGGCGAAAGTTCTGGGCACTTGTGACGGCTTTTTCTTTGAAGCGATATTGCCGTACTGGCAAGAATCCAGGCAAACTGCGAGGGCGGGGAAGCGCAATGGGCATTCGGTAGCCGCAATAACATACCGAATCCACAAAGCTCAAAAAAAACCTTAAACGGCTCGAGCTGTGCACGCTACGAGTCGCCGACTGCGTAAAGGCCCAAAAAAAATGCACAGGCGGGTTCCCATTTCTGCGACGGGGAAATGGGGGAAAGGCGGCCACGACGCACAGTCGTCACATCGGCTCCGCGATTCGATCCTTAGCCCACTCTGAGAGTCTCATGATGCCGAGATTCCTCCGGACCAAAGTGCGCGAGCAACCAGCAGCTGCGATGGAAGCTCTTCGGTCTTTTTCACCCATATACACTTGGTCCGTGTACTCTTCAGCAACATGATCATGTATTCCTCCCCGATACATGTGCTTGCTTTGCTCACCGGTCTTGCGGTGATAATGGCCACCTTCTTGCGGGTTTCTTGGGTGCTTTTTCAGCCAGTTTCAGGCTCTTTCTTCATCTTCGCCTCTACTTCTTCAAAGAAGGGCTTTTCGATGGCTGTTCATGCCTGGTTCACGGGCAAAACCAGAACATGTCGACGTCCGAAATGGCTGGGATGCCAATCGACGGTTAAACTTCGGCACTAAAACTCTGGGCGAGTTTGGCCAGGCCACCGAGCGCGTTCTGGGCTGAACGGCTGGGCCAACCTTCGCTTCAGCACATGGGGATGCTTCTGCTAGGGTTTGAGAGGTGGGGAAAGTACGGTTCGGCCCCCCAGTTGGGTTTTGCTGCCTATGGAAGGGCCAGCTACCAACACTTTCACAAAGGCTGCACGGCCAAGAAGATGCACAAGGAGGGTGTGCCAAGAATAAGGAGCTCCTAACTCCACAAGCAACTCGCTGCGCCTTATAAGACGCTAGGAGAACGACCAAAAACTTGTTAGAAAACTAGAATGTGATTAAGAGGACAATAATTTAGTGAGATACGTTTATTAAGAATAATTTACGCGACGGAAATTAAGGAGAGTGAGAATTTAGAGGGGGGAAATCTAGGGGGTGGGGAGGAGAACTCGGGGACAGGGAAGTTAGCGGGGAAAACGGGCGGCAACGGGGTGCGGGATTCCCCAAAAATCCGCGACTGGCTCGGAAGAGGGCTCTCTTCTTTGGGCGGCCTGCGATCCTTGGGCGCGCGCCGTGGCGTCGGCGACGGTATCGCCGTGTACTCGTGCGAACCGGGGCTCGAGGGAAGGGGAGCAGGGGCTCAACCCAACTATCCCGTTGAGATAATGCGGATAACGCTCTTCCTCCGTCATTGCATTGTCCGCCCCAGTTATCAAGCAACTACATCCTTTCGTGAAACATGATTTTTTTTAGGCTTTGATTTGTTGGAATTCCGGCGGTTCGAGAAAAATTTTTCGAGGAGCGGGCAAGGAATAGTTACAGATTTTACCGGCGGCGATTTTACAGGATCCAATGGCTTATTTTCATTTTTCGAAATATCAAATTTTTCGAAAATCTGAGTCGAAACTTCATTTTGTCGAAATTGCCATTTGTCGAAATTTCGTTTTGACGAAAAGACAATCTGTCGGCATTTCAGACCTTTTGAGTCACGATTATGCATCTCAAACATTTCGAAAACCGAAATTTTAGCGCATTGAAATTTCGACACTGCGACAAAATGATGTTGAACAAAATGATGCCGACACAATTATTTTCCACAAACTGATCGCAATGGGATCCACACTTAAGATCAAAATAAGTTCTACAAAAATTCATAAAAAGATAAAATATGTTTCAGCCTCCCAAATGGCCGCGCGCCGATTCGGTTGGCTAATAGGGATGAACGTGCTGCGGCTCCAACTAATTCATGATTTTTCGACACGATTAAAAATTATGAGTTTCAAGGTTTTTTGACCATAGATTTTTTCCCGGTCTTCCGATCTTTATACGGAGTGGCCAAGAGTTTATGCTAGCTCGCCTTTGCCATATCCAGCTTCCTTGAAAATCGGATTAATCATTTAATTCCGCCCGATTTCTCGAATTTAATGGACTCAACGTCAAAGCTTGGACTAGAATGATCGTCGCCCACTATGCACTTGTACCACAATTTTGCGAAACATTGCTTTTTCCGAATTCATTTTTAACGAAAAAATGTTTTGAATCTAAATGTTTTTCAGTCGACGAAAACTATTTTAATATTTGCAATATTTTTTGAGACTCCTGCCTCGCCGACGACGCAATGGCAGTATACCTTTTAACGAGAAAAATACGAAAAATGTGTTTAGTGAATACCCGCAATATATCCTTCAGCGTCTCGTAGATGTCATACTGTAGAATCATGCGCTGCGAATTTTCCTCCATGTTTTTGGTTAACTAAAATTAATATACTAGATTTAAGTTTTACGAATGTTTTTTGCGTGAAATAATTTAATTTGATAAATAATAAATTTGATCAGGTCATGGTGTTTTCTTTAAACCGTTCCGTTCCGTTTAATCCGAATTTTAATATCACTACTAGCTTGCCAAATTTTTATAATTTCGGGTTCACGTGTATAAATAATAATAAAAAACAATCTAAATAATTTGTTCTATGATTTTTTAAGAGGATCAGGGTTCACGTTTTGAACCCTTGTTCCTTCAAACGAAATTAACGTAAAATGTACGATAAACCAAAACGATCAAAAACTTTTTGAAGAGCCGCTTGAGAAGAAACATTTTAATTTTCGCGCTTCTGATGGATAATAATTGTCGTGCAGAAAAGCTTTACATGTAAATGCCTAGGCCCCAAAGAAAATTAGAATATACCGTAAAAACCGTACCTGTGTATTGTTACGTAGCCAATGAGGTACCGATATGTGCAGCAACGGGTTGTTGATCTCGCGCTTTCCCATTTCCGCCCGGGCCACCTGGAAAACGAATTGGCATCGATTTTTAAACTATTTAACAATACTGTTTGAAAGTGCAAATTGAAACTAAAATTATTTGAGAATTCATGTTTCTAGCGCTAGACATTTTTACAACAACTTCGGCATTGACAGACCGTGCAAATTTCACAACAAAATTTTTTGAAACATACGTTTTCGCAGATTCTGATCCTGAGATTTATTAAAGTTTGGTCTTAAAATCAAATTCGATTACAACGCCAAGCCCTATTAAAACACTTAATATTACGGTAACAGCATTATATTTTTTGTTTTAACGGCGACATAATTAGACCACGGGTTAAGAATACAATACTGGACAATGGTGAATTTTTTATGGTAAGTTTTCTTGAAATATAACTTTTTTCCGAGAAGCGGATCCTAAACTTTTTAGCCATTTTCGAGATTATGTAAGAGATTTATTTTCGGATCACGGGGAGAAATACTTTTTCAAAGGTTACTAATGGAATCTACTGGTTTGAAAAGTTTACCGCTGCAATTGGTCCCCCTGGACACTTTTAAAACTAAAAAATTCATCATTTTTAAAACTGATGTTGTAAAGTTTTTGGCATCAAATTTGCTTTTTTCCTTCAAGGTTTTTACTGTTCTGGGGACTCCTTACCTGGCTTGTAAGTGTCACCTTACATAGCCTATATTTTGTTACTTAAACGACGCCCCTGAGCTTAAATTTAGTTTGTTATCTAAATTTGAAACACCAAAATTTACAATTTTGCAATAATAAAAACGTACCACGCCATACCGTGGACCGTGGTCGCCCATGAAGAAGATAAACGCGTTCTGCAGCCGTTTCTCATGTTTCTCGAGGAAATTCTGAAAAAATATGTTTTGGACGATTTTGGAGCCGATTTGGTTCGGAATTCTACAATGGTTTCATCGCCTGTCTTTCTTTCACTAAATCCAGAATACAGAAGCCCTTAATCCCTTAATGTTTGGGTCTACCGACGGGGCAGTCAGGTAGAGAATATTTGAGTCAAGATGCGAGCAAGCTTAGAAAAAAAAGGTTGTGTAACATTTGGAAGTGGAATTGGTGTCGGATCACATTGATATACGGCGATCAAAACAAATAAAATGCTGAATTAAAAATTCTTTTTTTAAATACCATTGCGGAGGTGATATCGAGCTCGCCGAAAGACGCTTTCGCTGAAAACAGTTTCGCCAAAAAATGATCCCCGGGAAATCGGGATCCGATTTTAGCGAAAAAATGTGCAAGCAAAAGCATTATGATTTCGGCGAGATTTTGGTGTTACAGCACACAAGGATTAATGCAAAACGCCAATATCAAATGTCCCCAATTTTGATCAAACACATTTTCGAATCAATACTTTTCTGAAAGGACTTAGCGTTTGGATCAATTTCAGTTAAGAGAGGTTTCGTTTCAAATCAACATGTTTTAAATGTTATAAATGAGGCCTCGTAAGCATTTTTTCGCCTTTTCGATGGGTACTAAAAAGTTTTAAGGCATCCTCCAGAGAACCTAGAAAAACTATCAGCAGAAAAATCGTTAGAATAATGGAGAGAAAAGAACAGGAAAAATTTCTGCAAAATTAGGAAAAACATGTTTCGAAAGTCCGGGAGCTTATGATGCACAGCATACGTCAATTCCCGGTCTATTCTATACGTTATTAATTTTTAACTCATTTAATTTGATTAATTATTTTTTATAAATTACAGGCGTTCCGGATTCTTTACCCCGGGGCAGGCTAGCAGAGGCGATTAGCGACACAGCTTTGGTAAAATAAATTAAATACAATAAACCTTTGGTTGGCTTGCACATATCGAAAGTTTTGATTTTTTTTTTAGATTTGATTTTGATTGTAACAGTAAGAAAAAGAAGATGAAAAGATCAAGACGAACTGATAAAACACCGAAATTTTTGGGAGGATTTCGTGCATTTTTCCCAGGCAAGCTAGCAGAAATCCTTTAGGCAGTAATAAATAACGGCCAAACGTTTTGCCAACTTACATAGAAATCCTCATCAGCATGGTACAACAAATTCGGATCATCGTGACAGGGTGCGGTGGACCAGTTGATCACGAATTTTGGGGTGCCTGAACTAAGTTAGATAAATTGAAGCTCTTTTTTAATTCGATTTTTAATTTTTTGAAACAGATTAAATTTACTGCAGCTGTAAGTTATTAATTTAAATTGTTTAAGATGCTGTTACGTTTTAAAACGCCACTTACGGTGGGGGCATCTTATCGATCTATGCGACTACTAGAATTCAACCGTAGCTAATAAAAAGAAAAAGAATGCTTATATTAGTATAATGTTAAACGAAATGTGCGAAAAGTATAAATTATTCTAATTTGGAGTATAGTTAATAAGAGCAAGAAAAATCGTTAATAAAAATATGTTTCAACGAGAAAAAGGTAGAACCACGGATTGGAATCGGTCATTCACCAACGAGGCCGTTGAACCAAAATAACAACGCTTGTAAAGCAAAAAATGAACCTTCCTTCGTTTCTAATTTAAGAAAATCTTTTATTTATTCTGCTGGACTATAATTAAAATCGTGTTTCTGGAGTCCTTGAAGGTTAAATTAAAAAGAATAACTTCAGCCGCTTGGAATTAATAAACATTATCATTAATTTATAATTCGTTTTCGACTATTAAAAATATCATTTAATCAAGGCTGAAGAGCATAACGCAATCACGACGTTGTCATTCCGAACTTGAGATTTTCACAAAAATGTTTCGGAAAAAAGTGAAATAAGCGAGGTTTTTTTTTAAGTATAATTGAAGATGTGTGTTGGTGTAAATCAAAAACGGCATTAGCTTACCATTATAGGCCCTGAGGAATTTTCCAAAGTAGTCGAGCTGCGCGGTGTGCCATTCGAAACAATTCTGATTATTCATATACTGCTTCAGCGTCTTGTCATCACTCCACGTCGAACGGAGGGGCCTAGACAAAGAGATGTTTCGGAGCTAGCCAACGGCAGATCGTGCCACGGGTCGCCAATGATGCCGCTTTAGTCAACTCATATTTTTTGCGAATAACAAAAAAATGAAAGGGTCACTGCCGAGAAGTACCAGAAAAGTGATTTCGTTGCGAAAACGACGTGAAATACTTGATTAAAACGGAAAAGTTCTTGGGGCGAAAACGACATTTTGAGTGGGCGGCGTTTACATGTCGTAATGCCTTGTAAGCAGGGTTGGTCATTTCGAGCCCGGCCCGCGGGCGTCCGGGGCCGGACGGGCCGGACGGGCTGACTACCCAATTTGCATAAAATTAGCGGACGGGCTGGGACGGGCTGGGGAGCGGGCTGGACGGGCCGGGCTAAGCGGGCTGGAGCGGGCTGGGGTTATGCAAATCTGCTATGTCAATCATCCAGGGGTAAAATGACACAGAGAAGGCAATGTGATCCACATGGCGTTTTGTGCCCTTGTTTAATAAAGATTTATGGGATTTTTATTGTTTCCAGGTTGCAGGACTCTCATTTGGGTGCTGTGTGGGGAGAGAGAGCCAAGTTTTATTTTTATTTTTATTTCATTGATCTGTTAAAATAAAGGTGTATTGTTACACTAATTTTAGTTGTTTTTGATTGCTCAAACTGACAAAAACAATCTTACAAATTCTTGAAAATTGGCTACTTTAGACTTTTGGTGATTTTTCATAGTTTTTGATCAAATAAATCAAAAATTTGATAATGCTTACCACAGTTTTATATTTAGAAAGTGTACAATACCATAAAAATAGTTTTTATTTCCCCGCGCTGGGCTCTTGTCTGATCCTTGGATGTAATTAACATAGCAGATTTGCATAACCCCAGCCCGCTCCGGCCCGCTCAGCCCGGCCCGTCCAGCCCGCTCACCAGCCCGTCCCAGCCCGTCCGCTAATTTTATGCAAATTGGGTAGTCAGCCCGTCCGGGCTGGCCCGGCCCGTCCGTGAACAACCCTGCTTGTAAGGCACCCAATCTCTAGATCTCCGTAATTCTCGGATCAATTTTGATAATTAAAAAGTCTAGAATTATCAAAATTTGGTGTGGGTTCCAGAAACAGCGTCTGAATTTTGTAATTCCAGCGTTTTCACGTTCAAACAAGGGAAAAAGTGCATGCGGCTCGGTAGCATTGCGGTCGCATCTGGCTCTTTGCCAGGAATCAACACAGCGGGCCATGGATCAGATTTCGGGGGCCATTTTAAGGCATTTCGACAATGCGGCCGGCGGGTGACTTTTCGTTCGTCACTTTCCGTCAGTTTTCCACCGTAACAACTTTGACAACTAAAAGAATTCGGTCCGCTTGGCGATTCAAAATCAGCTTCGTTTGATTGTTGATGTTGATGTTCAATTGTAAAACATAATGTTTTGTAAAATTGTGGTGCCGAGGCAGAACTTGTAGGCGCCAGTTTAGGCAGCTCACTTTCGAGCTAAATTTCTGGAAACTAACTATGTAGTCATATGGTCCTGTAACGGAACATAGCCGCTTTTACAGTATTTTAGACAGATTCTATAAGCTATCTTCAATTTAATAAGTGTTAAAATATTATATAATACCAGCGCTGACCCCCCGCTACGCGGGGGTTCAGCGCTGGTCCCCCAAATTTTAATTTGAAATTGAATGCAGAATTTGGCTGGATTCCTGGACGCGGGCGGACGGACATTAGAAATTTATATAATTTGAAATTGAATGCAGAATTTGGCTGAATTCCTGGACGCGGGCGGACGGACATTAGAAATTTATATATAGTAGATATATAATATTTTTTATAGCCACCAAGCCACTAAACACTATCAAAAACACTGTTTATTGTTAAGAGGTACAGGTGGAAAAATAAAAATTAGCTTCCCTCGTGTTAACCCCCCCCCCGCTAACAGGGAAGAACCGGAAATTGCCTTTTTTGGTGTCCCAGTGGATCAAGGAATCTGGAAGGCGAGCGAGTAGGGATTCTTGGCCCCTCATTTGCAAAGTTTGAAGTTTTAAGGTTTAAATTCTTGCAAAAATCGATGTTTTGACCTCGGTTTATGACCAAAACATCGCACTCACCGAAAAAGATGATTAGCTTCCGGATTCTTGAACCCTTTGCAATTCCAGGAGAATGCGGTCCCGCTACCGTAGTCCTCACTGTACATCGTTTTGTAGCCTGCAAAAAAGAAGGTAAGGTATTTAAAATTTAAAAAAAGGTGTTTTTCGCTAGAAACTGGCTTTTCCTTTTAGTTTAAATTTAATATAAGGGAATCATGTCACCAGCAAATCATTAAAAAAATTCAGGGACGTGCAAATCCTGCTTACTGATTTTTGGCTATTCATTCCCTATGGATTTGGCCGTGAAGCGTGACTTAACGGACCCTTTAAATACATAAAAATGATTATTTAATTCCAAATTAAATTTTTCGAGCCCTTACCAGCGCTGAAAACCATGATGCAAAGATCCTAAAAAAAGGTAAAGAACACTCCAACGGATTCGACATTAAAAATTGTGAAAGATGCAAAACTTAAATTGATACTGAAACATCTTAAAAAAAATCTAACGCGCTACAAAAGGGCTTTCATATTCTTAAAACAAATAAATCTATGAATAGATTTTGTGTTTGCAAATAGCCTTCCTAACTAAAAATTGCTAAAAACACGAAACGTAAACTTATACTGAAACATATTATTATTTATTTAAATCCAAAGCGCTGAAAACTGGTTTCAATTTTTTAACAATGTTTCTCTATTGATAGGTGTTATCTTAAAAAGAATAAAAATAAAATTTTATCGTCTGAATTTGCATGCAACAGAAGCCCACCAATTTTCTCGTATTCCCGAAAAATGACCGAATCGTTGTCCCTGGCATATTTGCATACGTCCGGATGGTCCGAGTCCGCATTCACCCCGCCCACCGAATCTCGCCGAATCGCGTAGATTCGCCAGCCTGCAAAAATTATTTAAATAAACCTAAAATAACCATGAATCTACTATATTTTAAAACAGAAATCAATCCGAAAAATTTCAGTGTTTCACCCAAAAATTAGTGAAAAAAAAAATCGCGTATCTGTGTTAATTCCAGATGAACTATTGCCAGTTGTTCGATATTTCATAATGTCGAGATTCATACCGTCGAAAATCATAACATCGATATGAAATTTCAGAATGTCGAAATTTTTTACACCATATTTGGGGGGTTGTTCCCGGAGATTTTCATCTAATTTACATGTTGTTAGACGTTCTGAAATTTCGATAATTGAAATGATGAGATCTCGAAATTATAATTTTCGGCATTCTGAAGTTTCGACATTATGAATTTCGACATTACTTTTTGAATATTATGAGTTTCGAGATTTCGAATTTTGACAGTTCCGGGATTCTGAAATTTCGACGTTATGAAATTCCTCCAGTATGGAACTTCGACACGATGTTTTTCGACATATTGAAATGTTGACCTTCCAAAGTTAGCCCGGATAACGTACTACATAATACATTTTTTCTGTAAACTGTAGACTTCTTACCGAGAAACATCGCATATGCATTTGGTCTCGTGTTGTCGCCCACTTTGTTCAGATGGTGAAAATGACGACCGCCGAATTTCGTCTCCAGAAAACTCAGCGATCTCGGCAGAGAACTAAACTAGAAAAAAAAATACAAAATAATAGCACAAAAACTACTGATATTCATTAAAATTCAAACCACAGGGATTTCAGTCAACGAGATGTTTCATGAAATTGCCTACATAAAACGTCACCTCTCGCATTAATGTAACCAACATGTCTTTTCTAATAAAAATTACCGGAAAGTATCCTACCTTATATAATTTTATCGCGTATCTTTGTGTGCGTGTGCCGGTTTCGAGGCCAGATTTGATGGGCTCCCCGTGTCCAAAATGCCCTAATTCTCCGTCACCCGGGGGGAACCGACCCTCCTCTTTTCGATGGTGTTTTCAGAATTCCGATAAAATACAGGTTTACAAAGTGAAAGCCGGTTTTATTGATTTTTGGCGGCACCTGAGGACTAATTTACATAATGTGAAAAATTACAAATTTCTTCATCGGAAATTTAAATTTTTCTGCAACGGCTCAATTCCAGCGCCCAAGGCCCGCGAAGCGGCTTTTGGGCGCTGGTTTTAAAAATAAATCGACTGACTTGTTTTTCGCATTTTGCAGCCTTTTATGGTTTAAGTGATTCAATACATGGCTGGCACAAGAACTGTTTTCCAATTTTAAGCTTTGGCTTGATTCCTAAACGCAACACTTTTTTTGTAAACACACACACACAACAACACACTTTTGTTGTGGTTCTCGTGAGGCGGATGGCAATATTGTCGCATTTCCCAGTGTCTCATGAATAAGCTGTTTCAACAAAACAGCTTTGCCAATAGCTGTTTTCGAACTTATAGGCTTGGCCCTAAACCCTAATCATAACATTTTATGTAAAATTTTTTTGTATTCCTTGAAAAATGCATTTTATCGGCACTGGAGAATGGATGTATTGTAATTTTCCAAGAATTTTTTACTAAATTCTTCTTAAAACATACTTCTCTAATTTTCGCAAATTCGATCATGAAACCGTTCAATTTGAATTCGATCTTAAAGGCGCTGAGAAGTGTAAGTTCGAAAATGCGGGGATCGAATCCGTTGATGAAAAAACTAAAGGCTGGCTTAAATAGCTTGATTTCGTTGCAGGCGCCAGCCCACTGTCGCGTTTTACAGTCTTTGGTGCACAAACTGTTTCAAAACATGCTTTTCCCGACGACTGTTTTCGAATTCTACGCTATGCCCTAAATCCTAAGCGTAAGCTTTCTTCTAAAAAGTTTCTTCGGTGTATTTTTAAAAAAAAGCTTTCTGATTAGCTCAAAAGATGATCAGAAGGGGGTTATTATCGAGCCACCTTGATTTCCGCTAATAAACTTTTTTAAAACACATTTTTGAAATTTTTTACAAATTTTTTACCGACCTCGGCCCTATACTTTAACCTTATTTCCAGGTTGACCCGCCCGGAAAATCAAAAAACGAAAAGCCGATCTAAAAGGCAGGTAAAACGCCGCAACACGCGACGCGCACGCACTCGGCAACATTGACATGACGGGAATTCTGATGCAAAGTAATGGCTTTCTAAGGAAATTATTGCCAGGAAATAGAGAAACCCTTTTTCTGTGGCTATTCAACAAATATAACGACTCGACACGCTCGCTTATTGGTGCTAAGAAAAATCGGTGGGTTTTGAGGTTTTTAGAAACACTTTTTTTATTGCTGCCAATAAATTCCGGCGTCGAGCATATCCTGGCTAGCATGCGCATGCGCAATACAATGCTGTAACGATTTACATAATGATGAGCACTTATTCGGCCCAGAACTTTCGAGATAACTTTAGCGCCCAGTCTAACCTCGTAAATCTAACTAGGAAAATTTAGCTAGGAAAATAAATTTTGCAAACTCCCAAAATGGCGCCTTAATCCGAACTTGCTTTTTCCGATGACTTTAGGCTATAATAGGGGGCTGGTCGAGCCCCTCGCGAACGGTCTTTTAAGCACGTCTCTTGTGGGTACTCACTTTCTGTCTCTATCCCTTTAAAATACTTACCGCCTGGCTTGCGTAGATGATACGGAGTCGAAGACGAACATGAACACATCTGGACGGGCGCTTTTGACGGATGGCTTTTTCTGGGGGACCGTGCTAAATAAGTGAAATTGCTTTTAATAAATTTGACAATCAAATTTTTCTTGATAAATTTAGACAAAACATTTTGTTTCTATCGGTTTTTTGTGGGAAGAGGCCTAATAATATCAACAATATTATTTGTGTATTTTACCGCATTATAGCGGTAATTTTTGTATGATTAAAGCTGCATTCCCGAAATCACATGACTTTTTTGAATATTGTTAGGCGAAACATTGTTTTTAATGGACGGGAACCTAAACCGTGTTTTAGTGATTTGACATTCCTAAACATTAAAAATTATTTTAAAACGCGCGTATAAATTAATGAAATTAAATTGAATTCTGCTTATTAGAAATAACGCCCAGACCTTCTATTATTCTCGACGATTTGCGCGTGCATCCAGTGCTCGACGCTCGCCTCGCCCGTACCGCCCTTCTTGAAACATTCGCTCTTCACAAAGTCGCAATCTACCTAAAAAGCCTTGTTTTTTATTGACACAATAAATTACTGCATTTAAATCAGCTTCCAACAAATTTAATTTAATTCAGTATTTAAGTAAACGTCTTTGAACGTGTCGAAAGTTTTACAAACTGCTCCACGGATCACGGCCCGAATTCCTTCCCCGTTCTCTGAATTTTTTGAAACCCATAAATTTTCAACAAAATTTTGACTACTGAATAGTTTTTAGAAATTCGAATAGTTTTTAGCGTTATTTTTGTTAAATCGGAAACAACTTCAAGACAATTTAAAATGCTTACATATTATGAAAACAAAATTTGAAGAAATACTCCTAAAAATTTTGCAAAAAAATGTTTCTTCTTTTTCATTTGTCGAAAATCTTCGTGGCAGACTTAGTCGTTCACTTCCGTACACTCATTTTTTGTTTCGTAAAATCATTTTTATTTCTTGTTCTTCAATTTGGAATTTAAATAGATAACTTGATGAAAAAACTACCGTGCTTCCAATTTGTTAATTTTGGGATTACTGATAAGTTAATTTTATAGAATTCAGCTTGGTTCTACTCTTACGATTGGCCAATTTAGGGCACCTACCGTAACCGTGCCCTCAACGGCAAACCATTCGAGAGGTTCGGCTTTGAGTGGATGAATGTATTTATAGCATCTAAACGGAATAAATAGACAAACACGGAACTGGAAAACACTCGCCCTGTTTCAAGAAAAATTGTTAGTCTTTACTTCGCACGTAATCCCGAAATTTTTGAAACAAATTTTTTAATCAATGAAAAACCTTTAAACTCTTATTCGTGATCGTATACGTAAATCAAACTTAAATATTCTGGGATCTCTCAATTAAAAATTATTTCCATCTAGCCAAAATATAGCATGCTTATTTTAAAGGAATAGGCAATGGCTCGGTCAAAATTACTCTGGAACCACGTAGGATCACGACGATATTACTAATCCGGATTTTGCACAAACCGTCGAATTTTTTGAAACATGTTTACCAATATTCGAATTTTCGAAGGTTGCTAAAACGGAGCGTAAATAAGTGAATTCTGTGTGTCGATTAATACGAAATTAATATTGTCATGCAACCTATAAATATAAAACATATATTTTTGACAGGGCGTTTATATCTTTGCATTAGAAAATTACTATTAGTTTTATTGGCTAGGAATTCGCTTGTAGCGTCTCGCGCCCCAATTCCTCGCTTGCGCATGCGCGTTGGGTGTCGCGGTCGTGGCAAATTTAACAGAGATACAAGCTTAAAATCATACAAATAATTCTTTAAACGTTTATTTTAACTTATTTAGGATCGTTTATAATGATTTTTGCATTAAAAGCGAACAAAAGTGTTTCTATTTTCAAAGCATGCATCTGTCGTTCTCCCCTAAACCCACAAACTCACCTTGCTCGACATCGCACATCGGCCGTCCGATTCGGGTCCACCCACATTTTCCCGTTCTCCAGCTTCACGATCGTTTTGAAGTGTCGATTGCAATTGGCCACCGGGTTTTTGTACCTTAAAAGCACAAAAATATCACCAATCAATTAAAAATCCTCCTAAAATTAATGCCAGGGCCAGCCGACAGCGGATTGTATTTATGTTTTCGCAAACCGCTAGGGAGTTCGTCGCAACATTTTTTTCAAAAAAAACGAGGCTACGGTTTACTTTACCCTCCAGCCGGAAGTTTTTGGCTATAACTTTTTTATTTTACATTATTATAGGCTCAAATTAAAACTCCTAGTATATTTTTCGACGCCCTATCGAATGGCGTTGCAAAAATCCTGACAAAATAAGCGAAAATACCGACAACTTTGAAACCCTTCGGCTGTGGGGGGTAAAGTAAACTCTTACCAAAAACGATTTGTGGTAGTGGAATATTATCGAGGGGGTAAAACAAATTTTTCGCGGTAATCCGCACTGTCCCGATATATAGCGACTGCTAAGTCATTTTTATAGCCTTCAATTCAATTTTTAAATCTATAACCCTCGTAAAAATCTAATAAGCTTTGAAATTTATGGGGTTTTTCCTTAAAAATGTATGAAAGTGTCTATAACGGGAAAAACTTCAAAAGACAAAGCTTTTTCAATATTCGCTGTAACTTTCTAGCATTAATGAACTAAGAGTAACGTTATAAAATAGACTATTCATTGGTACAGGTCTAGGGAAGAAAATTGTCAGGCAGTGTTGCCCGAGTTTTTTAAATAAAAATAAAAATAGTGGTTTTGTGTTGCGACATCAGAATCGAAAATTTTTAGCTAATGTTTCTCAGAAAATGTTACAAGGATCAAAGTGGTTCCGCCGTTGGAGACCATCACAACCACCCGACTCTCCCTCTACGCTCTACTCTTCGACTCTTCCCTCTACTCGACTGATTAGCGATTAAACCGCTTACGCTATCAAAATTGACAGAACCTTGAAACCAAATCTGGCTACATTAATAGGATCCGATGGATTTGCCTAGTTAGGCCTTGTGGATTGTGATTCTTAAAAAAATGTTTCGTGGTTTAAGGTGCTTCCGCGGTTGGAACCAGGAATAATCATTGTACATCATTAGCTTGCAAGATTTACCGATTATAAATCGTTGGGCTATGAAAATTGGCAGTAGCTGCCATCCGATTATCGTGTAATCAAATTGAAAATTGGTGGTCTTTGTTTCTAGTAGCTCTAGGTTACCTAATTATCTCCTCTATGACCTTAGCTTTACCGAATTTTATATCTGGCTTCGTGACGCCTACATTTCTTTGAAAATGTTTCATGGATTAAGGCAGCGGGGCGGCCAAAAATTGAGATAATTCGTGACCATTAGAATGCCATAGAATCGTACGTGCTAGCTTTCCGTTAAAAAAGTGTGATGCCTAAATCGAGTTCCACGTTCTAATAAACCGGCTTCTCAGTTTTAATAAACCCACGTTTATCTTGTCATCGAATTAAAAATCGATGTTTTATTTTTCTGCTTTAATAGGATTCTTTGGCTTATGCTACTACGTTTGACGTTATATATTCCAAAACAATTTCAAAAATGTTTCAGAAATATTAGGTTGGAACATAAGTTCGCGCAATCGAACATTGGAAATTTCTTTCTGAAAACTTAGTGGCCAGATTCCGATATTCCCTCTTTGCATTTATCTATTGGGTTCATGAGTATGTGGGACCAAAATTACAGGTTTTTAGCCCCGGTAGTTTTTAAGATTTTTGCGTTTCTCTCGAGCGCACTTCAAATTTTTGACCTGGACATCTTTCCGAACCGCCATAAAGTCACCATAGAAATTGATCATCAATATGCTCTTAAGTTGTATCTACTGGCTGCATGCCGAATTAGCACAAAAGGAAGCCAATTTTCTTTTGTAAAGGCGGGCCTAAGCGATTTTTCATTTTCGCTTAAATCTAGCTTTAAAAAATTCTAATAAGGAAGCAACGCGATTCCGTCCCACACATAGAATAGAGTATTTTATTGTATATCCGGTCATCCAAAAAACATTTTGGTTCTTGCCCGTTTTCCGGTCCGAAAATTACAAAGAAAGAAAAATATTGCACGAACTTTAGTTCCAACCTAATATATCTGAGGGGATGGAAAGTTCAAAAATTAATATAACTAGCAACTTCCCACAAATCCGTCTTATTTGATTTTTTTTTGTTTTAATGCCTGCCTTTTTCCTTTTTTATAGCTTTCCATACCATTTGTTAAATTTCGAGCACCTAAAAATTTAAAATTGTTGGAAATGTACTCCTTTTTCCGTGAAAAATGTGTGAAAAGTTTCTGTAAAAAACTTTAAAAATCAAGCAGCTTTCGAAAATCTATATTACTCGCTTATGTTTTGTTTTAATGTCTGGTTTTGTTTCCCGCTACCAACCCACCGTACAGTCATGCCCATATCACGATGAAACGGGTCGAAGACGGTCAGCTTGCACCGGTCGAAAACGTCAATTTCCGAATCGTCATCAACGGCTTCGTGATGATGATGGTCATCTTCAAGTTCCCCGAAATCTTTCGGATTTGGAAATGTCCAAGTTGTGGGGAATCCTGCAAATCCATTAAATGAAACGCCAACCAGGAACAATTAGCTCTTCACAGCGAGCTATTGATTTGCCATTTGGCGAAACATTAAATTCTGAATGCTTACCGATATTTTTATATTTTCGATAAATTTTACTTAGATTGATACCTTAATGATATACTAACTAGTAAGGTTTTGATATTTTATAATGTTATTTTATATTTTTATTAATCCGATTTGCGAGCCTTTACGTCCGGAGAAAACTTGGATAATCGGATTATGGAAATCGGGAACATCATGGGATTGGCGATTGCAAACGGGCTAATTAGATGCAGCTTTACGAAACATTTTTTAGCACCTTCGTAATTTTTTTTATTTTTATGGTTACTTTTTTGAGAGAATCTGAATTTTTAGTCGATTTCTCAGGTCAGTGGATGTCGAATTCCTGGGAAAAATTTGGAAACCGATTTATTCCGCTGGACAAGATCCTACCATTAGTTACTGGAAAAGAGCTGACAATATGTCAATTCACGAAACATTTTTTAGAACATTCTCAAGTCCTTATCATTATTTTTATTTTCAACCCTGGCCCCGTCTGATCCCATGATATTCGTTACTTTGCATAGTTCTCGTGTTTTCGACGACAAAAGAAATGAGAAACGCTCCCTCTCTTCCCTTATATAGGCTCCCACAACATCCGGCGTATGCTAATTGCTTCCTAACAAAGAGGGTCACCGATTTTACAACAAAAACTTAATTTTAACGTCGAAAACAGCGACTTTTTGAAAATTTTATGAGTGTGCAGTCATCCCAAGGCCATTACGCACCTAATGAGGTATAAAACATACCCCTAACTACTCCCCTTATTGAGATACTGCTGGAACACGCTGACGGAAGTTGCATGCAAAGTGGCACACACACACACACACACACACACACACACACAGGAACTATTTTTTTATCTATAGTAGGATACAATCTGAATCTTTGTTTTAATATTTAGCGAGTTTGGAAAGGCCGAAGTCCTGGGAAGACTTTGGAAAATCAAATTACGGAAAAGAAGGCCACATAGCATCCGCGATTAGAAACGGGCTAACTGTTTGCAATTTTGCGAAACATTTTTTAACACATTCTTAAGTTTTTGCAACTATTTTTATATTATCGGACATTCTGAATCTTTGATCTTTATATATATTCTTTATCTATCCGTTATTGAAAGATCGAATCTGATCGTCGAATTTTATTAGAAAAAGCTGACTATATACAGCTTTACGAAACATTTTATCGATTCTCAAAAGAAATTCTCTCCATATTCCTCATAGGCAATGCAGCGGAAGGAGAGTTTTCGACGTCTTCGACTACTTTACCAAATTCTATTTAAGGTGATTCGTTAGAGCACAAAAATGATAATTCTAGTTTTTCGTTTCAGTAAAAAGGTAAAATAAAAGTGCACTCACCAAAATATTTGCTGGCTCGGGAATTCTCAATAAAGAGCTCGTCGAGCACGATGTAGATGCTCAGGCAGAGGATCACCACCCAAAATGGCGCCCGGTCGCACACCATCAACCAACTAAAAAGTCGAGGAGCCTAAAAAAATCTTTAACAGAGTAAGGGAAATCACAAAGAGATATATGGAATTAGCGAAATGCTTAGTTTAATAAGATAAGATAATCCATATTTCTCTACCTACTTAAATATAAATAAAGTGTAAAACAAGGTTAAATACCGAAAGAAATGAAAACATATAGAAAATTTAAAGAATGTAGTATAGATTGACCTCGAGATGCTACCAATTATCGCCATAAATATACGATTCACATCGTTTTTTAATGGAATTTTTTTTTTGGATGGAGTCCGTCGATCGAATAATCAAAAATCAAGGGAGAAATCAACAACTAAAAAGCCTGAAAACATTAAGAAAAGGATTAAATAATTAATGAGGAAATCATATATATTGAAAACTGGGTAGATGGCCAATATGGATAAAGCAATATTAACTACACGACGGACAACGCTAAAATTGCCATTATCAATGATCGATTTGCATTGTTTTTTCAATGAAACCATTTTTTCCAACACCTGATTTTACCATTCTTGCTTTTCAAGTCCCCTTCGGAAAAGTTAATGCAAGAAATCTTTTAAGCATCGGCCTGATGCGCCTCAAATTTTCGCTAAAGAAAATATTTCCGGTCAGAAAAAACAGACAAAATTTTGATTGGCCCTTTCGGACTTGCCTGGCGCATTTTGAAGGCTGATCCATCAAAAAATATACAATTCATAACTGCTCATTTTCGACGGTTACAAGATAGAAAAACGATTCCATAATGCATTGTATTATGCGAATAGAACCAACAGTAAATGAACTCGACCCATGGATCGGCCAAAGCACGACACAACTTATTGTGTTTCACAAAAAAATATTGGGTGGTGCGCACTAGAATCTATAATCCAAGGTTAATTCTAGAACCACAACAAATAATTCAAAAACCCTTATCTTTTTTATATAATTGAGAAACACTTTGGTGCAGGGCTGTCATGCGCGCACCTTTTCCAAGACGAGACCCCCCCATGACCGGTCAAAATGCCAGTATTTGCGCGTGAATGGGGATGGGATTCCGGCGGAGCATAAAATAGTTTTAACGGTTTTCAAAGCTATCCGACCATTATAGGGAATTCGTTTACGAAAGTATAATTTCAAATGTCGCAGGACGTAGGATGTCGAATTGCAAAGGCCCTGGAGGTTTTTTTAAGGTAGGGCTACGACAAATTTTTTAGGAATTTTCGTGATCGCGATGAAGTGTAAGAAGTTATTTTTTATCTGTTTTGATCAGGGACGCAGCGTAATACCGGCCCCGGGGGCCCGCCCTCCCCGGAAATCGACCGGGGCCCGAAAATTTCATAAGGGGGGACCCTTATGATTTTTATTTTCTAAAAAATTTTGCTGCCTCCGCGCAAGTGTCGGGGCCCAATGTCGTGGCACCATAGGAAATCTGAGAGCTAGCTGGAGAGAGAGGAGAGAGAGAGAGAGAGAGAGAGAGAGAGAGAGAGAGAGAGAGTGAGAGGGGGATTAAGCATGAGAGTATTGTCGTAATAAGTTGCCTCGACGGGTCCAGAGCACTAACTAACCTAAAACATTTTTCTCGTTAAATTCCATAATTTTAGAGGCTTCTTAAGGTTGAAGAAGCCATGTGGTTATACGGGTAATATTGAAATGACGACGCGTCAATTTAGAGTGACCAACCGCACCCTTATCAGTGGTTTGGCTGGGAATGAGGGTGTGGCCTTTTTGAAGCCCACAGAGAGAAAGCGAGAGAGAGAGAGAGAGAGAGAGAGAGAGAGCAATGCACACGCGGCGAGTATTGTCCAATCTGTGTGCCATCTATACCAAACATGGCCCCGTGTACCCATCGCGTCAAAAGAGTTATGGCCCATTTCCGGGGATCCCCTAGTTTTTGTTCAGTTTTAGGGGATTTACCCTGGAAATGGAAAAGACTCGACCAGGGTTGGTCATCTTGAGAGCCGGCTCTGAGCCGGAGCTGAGCGGAAGCAGGAGCCGAGCGGGAGCTGAAAATTTCAGCTCCCGCTCAGCTCCAGCTCTTGAGCCGGCTCTTTTGGAAAAGAGCGGGAGCCGAACCCTGCTCTACTCCACCGGATGCTGAAAATGAGTTATTTATGCAAATCTCCCAAAATTCCAAAAAAACTGAATATTTTTGGCCTTGCATTGCCTTATTTGCATAGATATCTGATTTGCAGAAACCGGCTTGAGTTGAGCGGGGTTCGGCTCTCGCTCTTTTCCAAAAGAGCCGGCTCAAGAGCCGGAGCTGAGCGGGAGCTAAGGATTTTCAGCTCCCGCTCCCGCTCTTGAGCGGGGCTCGCAAATCAGCTCAGGCTCCCAGCTCCCGCTCTTTTCGTGAACAAATCTGGACTCGACTAAAGAAACTTGGGCCATAACCAACCTTAGCTGGCCAGGGATTCGAAACACTATTTTTAAAAGTGCGTTATTCTTGGCCGAGCTGCATGAAGAATGAAAAAAGATTTTTTAAAAACATGAAAAATCATGAAAATCATAAAAAAAGAAAAAAAGAAAAATCTGGAAAAAACATTTCCTGAATTTATTTTAATATTTTCTCAGTACTGCGCTATTAGCGGGAGGGGGAAGTTTCTAGCGAGAGAAGCTAAATTTGTTTTACGGCCTATACATACCTATTAAGACGATAAAATGTATTATCTTTATAGTATTTTCAGTGATTTTCGACCTTTAAAGGGGCTCAGAAGTCAAAATTCGTGCGTGCAGGGATTGAACCTACGGGTCAAAAAACGCAAGGGTCACTGCCGAGAAGCGCCAGAAAAGTGATTTAATTGCGAAAAACCTAAAATATTTGAGAAAATCCGAATTCTTTTTGGGGCGAAAACGACATTTTGAGTGCGCGGCGATTACCTGTCGTAATGCCTTTTATGGCACCCAATCTCTCGATCTCGGCGATTCTCTGGTCAATTTTCATAATTTAAAAGTCTGGAAGGATCAAAATTCGGTGAAGATTCCAAAAAAAGCATCAGAATTTTTAAATTTAACTGTTTTGGCGTCCAAACAGGGGCAAAAGACCGTCCGGCGCGTTCGCGTTGCGGTCGGATCTGGCTATTTGCCAGGAATCACAGCAGGGGGTCGTGGACCAGATTTCGGGGCCCGTTTAAGAAGACGTAAAAAATGTTCGGTAAGTTTCCGAAATTTTTAGTAGCTTTTTGGAGCTAAAAACTGTGTAAAATTCGATTATAATTATGCTGCTCTATAATGGATACTGGAAACATGAAAAAATCCCTTTTGATCAAAATGATGCTGAAAACTATTTAGCAAAACACTGATTTTACAAAATATTCTG